TGACCTCCACCTCGACCTCGACCTCCACCTCGACCTCGACCTCGACCTCCACCTCGACCTCGACCTCGACCTCCACCTCCACCTCGACCTCCACCTCCACCTCCACCTCCACCTCGACTTCCACCTCCACCTCCACCTCGACTTCCACTTCCACTTCCACTTCGACCTCGACCTCGACCTCGACCTCGACCTCAACTTCCACTTCCACCTCGACTTCCACCTCGACTTCCACCTCGACTTCCACCTCGACTTCCACCTCGACTTCCACTTCCACTTCCACCTCGACCTCGACTTCGTCAGAAAATCCCGATGCCAATCCTGGCGGGCCTGGTGGCAACCCAACGCTATTCCCTCCTACGGACGAGCCCACGGATGAGCCCACGGATGAGCCCACGGATGAGCCCACTACGGAGGAAGAGACGCGCCCTCGAACCACTACCAGGGTCACGCGCGCGCCAACGACAACACAGCGTCCCGTTGTGACTACTACGAGCGCCGCCACTCGCCCGATGACGACGGGACGTCCCGACGGTCCCACGGCCGAGGCCCCTACCGATGAGCCCACGACGGAGGAGCCAGATACTCGTGCGACCACTCGTGTAACGGCTCAGCCCACGCGCCCCGCCACCACTCGCCGCCCCGACGGACCAACCGATGAGCCCACGACGGAGGAGCCAGAGACCCGCGAGACCACTCGTGCCACACGCCCTGCCACCACTCGCCGCCCTGATGGGCCAACCAACGAGCCACCTACGGACGAGCCAACCATGGAGCCAACGGAGGAGGCTACGGACGAGCCGACCATGGAGCCAACAGAAGAGGCCACGGGTGAGCCGACCATGGAGCCAACAGAAGAGGCCACGGGTGAGCCGACCATGGAGCCGACGGGAGAGGCCACCGCCGAACCCACCAACGAGACTGAATGTGCCTTCTTCCAACCTTGCGACTGTGCCGATACCGAGACCGAGTTTTTGTCCGAGGATGCCGATGGCTGTCTGACTTGTGCCTGCCGCAACGCCAGCTGCCCACCCGTCGAGCCATGCAGGTTTGTTCTTCAGTGTCGTCTTCTTATTCATGACGCCTCCCGTGCTTTTGAGCCAATTGTAGTTGCCACATGGCGCGCTGCCTCGTGTGTTCTGACCTCATGAAACGCTTGTTATCTGCCCGTGTGTGCTGTAGCTGTGGCGTTGATACATTCCCCGTCACTACCCAGGATGAGTTTGGGTGCGAGACGTGCTCATGCGTCAACCTGACGGGTGCTGAGATGGCGGGTGAGAGTGCCCTTGAAGAGGATGACTCGAGCAACGGATCGGACAATGGCACGGGCATTATCGTTGCGATTGTTGGCGGTGTTGCCCTGGTTGTACTAGCCGTTGTGGCCGTGGTCGTGGCTCGGTACGTCTTGTTGCTCGGCTCGCGCAGGGTGGGGTGTCATGGCTTCAGACTCACGCTTGCATGGGAATGCTTAGGTCGCGTTCTCAAGCCAAGCGCGCCTCTTCGTTTGAAGCCCAGAACCTGGAGTTTGATGAGCTTCAATCGGGGGACGCCGTCGTGCCCATTGCACCTGCAGCAGCTGGTTCGGAGGGCCTTGAATACGACGAGAACATCTAAGTTGAGACCCACCAAATTCAGCCCCAGTGGCATACTCACATCATGAGAAGCCGCTATTCATGTCATGTTCGCTGCGCCCGCGCCGTTCTTTTGCTTCTCGAACGGCGGCGCTGGAGCGCGCGATCATTGTTTTCTGTGCATGTCTCTGTTCCATGTTTGTCCGGAATGTGAGCGTGCTTTGTTCGAGTGAGTGAGTGAGCGTGCGGCATGACCAGATGGGTATGCACACGCCTGCGTGCTGAGCGCCCCGGTTCGTACTTTTGTGTGTGTGTTTTTTTGTCATTTGTTCGTTTGTGTTGTGCATGAGCTGTAGCATGCCATTTTGCGTGAGCCTGCAATTGAATTGCAAAGAATACCAGAGAATAGCAATTGCACAACTCTTGGTGGGGACGACCTTTTGCGCCGCTATGAACAATGGGCTGGTGACATGCGCGGCCTACTTTTGGGCAGCGGCAGCTTGGAGGTGATTATCCATCCACAAAACCTGCTGATGCTGGCGAACTGTGGGCATGTCGACCATGGTGCCTTCGAATTCAAAAGCTCCGGTGCCCTGCACATGTCAAGGGCAGACAATGAGGACTGTGGGAGACGCAGAAGCGTTGTGGGCGACAGCGTGCAAGGCCGTGGGTGCGTACTGCGTCGCTATGGGCGTTGAAAGCGTCGACCAGGCGACGGGCGTAGTCGATTTGCTGTGGGGTGGGGTGATAGGCTGCCTGAACGATGGGAACCTGAACTGGATGGATCACCTGCTTGCCGTCAAAGCCCATTTCCGCGCCTGTTGTGCCATTTTATTGACAGGCGGGGCAGGGTTGGTCAAGTCAGACAACGTTCTTTTGTATGAGCCTGTTTTTTTGACATGTCTGTCTGAGCGCCAAGGGCCGTGTTTGGCCCAGACGGTGGGAACTGAAAAAAGGCAGGGCGGGACGGGGCAGGGCAGGGCAGGGCGGGGCGGGGCCGACCTTCGGAGGCTTCTTGTTCCAGCAAATCAAGGCCTTGTTTGTAGTGGATGTTGACAATGTCAATGGCGGTGAGGCCAAAGCGGGCGGCGGCGACAATGGTCTGTTGTCGGGCCAGGAGCAGTTCGCGGTTGCTCGGGGTGCGTCGGGCGCGGATGCTGGCAGCAAAGTCGTCGCCCCCAAGGATCAAGCCATCATGAATGATGCGGCGGTCCTCTGCGGAGCCCCGGTCCTTGCCCACCTGCAGCCAAGGGCAGTTGGGGTGAGCGCAACGTCGGGGCAGTCGGGACAATAAAACCAGTCTGAGAAGCCTCGTTGTGCAGGGCTAGCAAGAATGGGATTTACCTGACAGATATCGTGGAGGAAATGCAGACCCACGGCGGATTCGACCTGGCAGGTGCAACGGTAAAAAAAAAAAAAAAAAAAAAAAAAAAAAAAAAAAAAAAAAGGGAAGCGGAAAGAGAGAGAGAGAGAGAGAGAGAGAGAGAGAGAGAGAGAGAGAGAGAGAGAGAGAGAGAGAGAGGAAAAAGAAAAAAAAAGAAAAAAGAAGAGGGTTGATGAGTTGGGTGCACCGGGCGGCTATGAGCCATGGGAGTCTCAACCTGGGAGGGAGGGATGACATACTTGGGTGATGAGGTGCAAAGGTTTGGTATTGCTATCGGGGCTGAGCGTTTGGACGGCGTCGTACAACTGGGGCGTCAAGCGAGGGCCACAGTGAGCGGATGGCTGGGGTGGGGCGTGCTGGAGAACAAGCTTACCCATTCCATTTGTTCCGGGGTGTCTACTTTTGGGACGACAATGGTGTGGGGTCGAGTTGAGGCGCCCAGCACGGCCTCGAGGTCGTGCCAGGCGTGGGGAGTATCGACGGGGTTGATTCGGACGGCAACCTCTGAGCGACCTGAGGCAGCGAAAAAAAAAAAAAAAGGTGAGGGGGTTAGGGTTGGGCTGAGGGGAGGGTTTGTCAGGGTAAGAAGAGGCTCGATGGGGGGGACCACCAGGAGGCCGAGAGGGAGGCAACAACGGGACAACGACGGGGCACCCGGGGGCCGAGAGGGAGGCAACAACGGGACAACGACGGGGCACCCGGGGGCAACAGCGGGGCAACAACGGGACAACACGGGGCAACAACGGGGCAACAACGGGGCAACACCCGGGGGCAGCAACGGGGCAGCAACGGGGCAGCAACGGGGCAGCAACGGCGCAACCGGGGGCCGAGAGGATGGGAGATGGGCAGCAACTGACCAAAGTTGGTGGATGAGAGGATGTCTGGGATGGCTTGGCGAGCATCGGGTTTGCGGGCTTCGGCAACAGCATCTTCGCAGTCGAGGCAGATGAGGTCGACGTCTAGGGTACTGGCCTTGACGACCTGCGCGACCAGGGCACGGGGACGAGCAAACTGAGCTGTGCGCCGCGACGCGACTCGTTTCGGTGGTCTACGGCGGCGCACTCACCTTGCGATGGTCATGTGCCGGAAGGTACAGCAGGGCTCGCCGCAGCAGCCCAATGGCGCCATCCCCACCCGCCGCGGCATCTATGACGGACAAACCACCGGTGAGCCAGCAGTTTATCCAACCACCAAGTCCAACTGATCTTTGCCCATGCCGCGTGCCACTTTCTCGACCGACTCACCACCACCAGCGAGCCGGGCGTAGGCCTTGCCCGCCTCAATGGCCGTCTGTGCCACCCGCTGCATCCTCCGTTTGACTCCCAACAGCGCCAACAGATCCAGTTGGCAGTGCCAACAGAGCCAACAGGAGAGCCAGCAGTGCTAACAGAGCCAACAGACTTAGCGGTCAGCAAGAGTCAACAGGAGCGCCAACAGAGAGGAGAACCAGGAGAGGAACGCCAACAGGAGAGCCAGGAGAGGAGAACCAGGAGAGGAGCGCCAACAGGAGAGCCAGCAGCAGAGCCCACAGAACCAGCAGTACCAACAGCAGTGCCAACAGCAGCAGAGCCAGCAGTAGAGCCAACAGCAGGAGTACTGATAGCAGAGCCAACAGGAGAACCAGGAGAGGAGCGCCAACAGCAGCAGGCGTACCAACAACAGGAGAAGTACCAACAGGAGAGCCAACAGGAGAGGGGTACCAACAGCAGCAGGAGCACCAGCAGCAGCAGGGGTACCAACAGCAGCAGGGGAGTACCAACAGCAGTGCCACCAACAGCAGCAGGAGTACCACCAGGAGCAGGAGCACCACCAGCAGCAGTACCAACAGCAGGAACACCAACACCAGCAGCAGCAGCAGGGGTACCAGCAGTAGGAGCAGCAGCAGGGGTACCAACCAAGAGGAGGAGGGGGCGGTTACCCAATCTCTGGATTTCCCACTGGTGGCACGACGTTTGATTTTCGCCTTTTTCTCGTATCTCTTTTTGCAACTGGCCCCCAATTTGCATTAAGCCCCTCTAAAATGAATAACAGGATGAAGAAGAGAGAGAGAGAGAGATTAAGAGAGAAAAACACGAAAGAAATTTAGAGAGATTCGGCGATCCTGGTTCGGTTTGAAAGAGAGGAGAACGAGGGCTTGCTGCTGCTGCTGCTGCTGCTGCTGCCTTCTTTGAGACGGTGGCGCCCGAAGCGCTCTCTGCCCCCATGGGCCGAGCTAGTCTCACAACACCGCTTCGGTCCATAGCCTTTTTGAGAAGAAGAGAGAGAGAGAGAGAGAAACAGAGAGAGAGAGAAACAGAGAGAGACAAACAGAGAACAAACAAAGATAGAGAACAGAGAGAGAGAACACAGAGAGAGAGAAACAGAGAGACAGTCGATTTGAGAGGGAGCCCATTGTCAGATCTTTTCACTTTTTCATTCGTTCGACGTACGTTCAAGAGAAAGAGAGAGTTGCTTTGCTGTTGTCTCTCTCTCTCTCTTCTCTTTCTCTGCGTCTCTGTCTCTGTCTCTCTCTGTCTCTCTGTCTCTCTGTCTCTGTCTCTGTCTCTGTCTCTGTCTCTGTCTCTGTCTCTGTCTCTGTCTCTGTCTCTGTCTCTGTCTCTGTCTCTGTCTCTGTCTCAGTCTCTGTCTCAGTCTCTGTCTCTGTCTCTGTCTCTGTCTCTGTCTCTGTCTCTGTCTCTGTCTCTGTCTCTGTCTCTGTCTCTGTCTCTCTCGCTGTCTCTGTCTCTCTCGCTGTCTCTCTCTGTCTCTCTTCGCGCTATTTTCTCTCTGTGGGTCGATCGAT